TGAGAACCGCTGCACTAGAGGGTTTTCGCTGAGGTGGCCTTGGTTCTCCTCAGAATTCCATGTCTCGTATCCCAGCTGACACTATTTCACCCCCTTCCAAAGTTGTGTAGGCTAGACAGATCTAGAAGTATTTTTCATTTCTTCTTAATTTTTTTTATTAGTTTCAGGTGTACAAAACAATGTAATAGATATTTACCCCCCTCATAAAAAGGTAACCTCCCCCCGTCTACTACCCGTCTGACATTGTCTACAGCTGTTACGGTTCCATCGACTCTATCCCCTGGGCTGTCCTCCACAAAAGTGTTTCTCATCGGGAGTTATGTGACCAGGTTCATGTTCAGTGACGTGGAACTTCTGGCCGTCTCCCTCAGCCCTGGCGTTGGGCTTGCATCCGGTCTGACATTTGACCTTTGCACTCTCGTGCCACGGTCACACCCAGAGCAGCTGCCCTTGAGCCGGCAGAGAAGCCCCGCAGCTCCCGCTGTGCGTGCAGGCTGCCAGGCCCGAGCCCAGCGAGGCCACGTGGCCACGGAAGTGGCTGTGAGCAGTGCTTGGGGTTTCAGCGGCAAATTCGATCTGATTGTGATTCTTTTGTGGTTTTAGGAGGAATTTGAAAATTGCGTGACTCAGTACATGAAGGTGATCAACTTCGCAAAAGGGGAGCCAAGGTAGGCGTGGGCCCGCTGCTCCCGTGGGCTGTGACGCGTCCCAAACAGGGCCTGCCGGCCGGTCCCTGCACACGCCGCGGGGCTCTGTCCTCGTCCGTGTTCTGTGCACGCAGGTCCCTGCCGAAGAGCTAGGCCGAGCACAGTCCCCTTAGCGGCTGCCTCTCTTCTCTTCAGCGGTTGCTGGGACCTGCAGTGACCTTGGGCCGCTTCCTCTGTGGGCCTCTGCCTTCCCCGTCCCCGGGGCCCCTCAGGGTTCAGCAGCATGGTTCCCTCCCTGTGCTGCCCCCGCTGGCCGGTCCTCCCCCTGGCCACCGCCTGGGCCATGGACTCAGGTGTGCAGAGGTGATTTGGCTGAAAGTTCAGCACTGTTCCCACTTCACTAATGCTTCCTTAAGTTTGCACACAAACTGCTATCAGCACAGCCTGTTTAAAGAGGACACATTGGGGCCGGCCGAGTGGCTCAGTTGGTTAAGAGCTCGCTCAAGAGTGCGAGCTCTGAGCAACAGGGTCCCCGGTTTGATTCATGGCCTGAACTGAGCTGCCAACAGGTGGCAGGATGGCTCAGCTAAAAAAAAATAAAAATAAAAAAAATAAAAAAATAAAGAGGACACATTTAAGGGTGATGTCAGCTTAAGTCCAGGGTCCACTCACTCGCTCCCCACGACCTGCGATTGTCGATTGGCAGCCTCCTCTGGCTGGCCCTGTAATAGGTGCTGGGATGCAAGGCCCAGCCCCCGGCCGCTCCCTCAGCGAGGTTGTACAGACGGAAGCCGGCGGCCGCACGCCAGAGGTCTTGAGGATAGTGGGTGTTTCAAGGGGACCTTGCTCTGGAGCCGTGAAGCCAGAGCAGTGGGCATCCTTGGGGAGGGGCCCAGGGGCTGCTGCACGCCAGGGGTCTCGGGGTAGCTGCAGACTGCCTGATGGGGGTCCAGGAGCCTTGAGGACTCTCAGGACCACCTTTAAAAATAGACCTGGGCACAGCCAGGTGGAGGAGGAGGGGGCCCTGAGGAAACCCACGCAGGGACCGGCAGCCTGTCTCACTGCCAGCGCCCTGGGTGGTGTGGTGATTAGCAGCTGATGGCCGGCCAGCACAGAGCCCTCCAGGCACCTGGGGTCCTACAAGGCAGAGCCCCCCCAGAGAGGCCTGGAGACGGAGGCGAGCCAGCCTTGTGTCCCCATACTCACCTCCTCAGGTGGCCCCCTGCAGCGGTCAGGAAAAAGGCCAGCTTCCGAGGAGCGCCCACCCCCTCTCTCCACACTGGGCACTTCCTCTGCAGGCATAGAGACCTCCGAAGGTTCTGCTGTGTCCTCTCCACCTACCCAGCCCTCTTTCCCTGCACCGCTCTCCGGGCCGATTGCTGGTGCTTTCTGGGTCTCAGCAGGGTGTCACCTCCTCCAGAAAGCCTCCCTTGATTCCTCCTGCACCTGCCTGTTCTTGCCTGTCCCTTGGGAGCCAAAGGGAGCCTTGCACGGTGACCCCTTCATAGGGAGGTGCCCCTTTGTGGAGTGACTGAATAAGTGAAGAGGTCGAAGCCTGTGGTCCAGCTGGAGCCAGGGCGCCGTCTGCACGGGCACCCCTGGTGACCCCTGAGGGCGCTGCGCGTTCTCATGCAGTGTGGCCCGTATGTCTCATGGGGCTGCTGCCATCTGCTGTGCACAGGGGCCTCCCGAAGAGGGCTGGGCTCAGCCTGCTCTCCGACTGCCCGTCCTTGTGCCGCAGGTATCACTTCCTGGTGTTCAACGCCTCAGTCCTCTACTGGCAGATGGCGAGGCCTTTTCTCAAGCCTGGATACTCTCACCATCTGATCGCCAGCCTCGCCCAGATCGTTAACGTGTTAAATCAGTCGGAGGAGGAGGACAAGGAGTGGCGGGCGGAGCTGATGCTGTGAGTGGGGGGCCCTGCCGCGTCCTCCCAGTGCCAGCCGGGGCCACTGCGTCCAGCTCGAGTCAGAGTCGTGGTTTTGGTGTCTTGTCCAAAGATGTTTGTAGACTCTGTAGAGGACGATGTCACAGTGTTCCGATCGTATGGACGTCACAACAGGTGGCTGTTTCCACTCAAAACACAGGAAGTGTGAGCCCCGTGTCAGAGTCCTGGCTCCTGGTTTAAAGCTTAGTTCAGTATGCTGTTACCTTAGGAGACGTTTTAGCAGAAAACTCGGAAGAGCGGGCGCCCTGCACATCCCTGCCCCCCCTGCCCAGGGCCTGAGACCCACAGTGACAGACGTCAGCAGGTGGTCCCTGCTCTGTGCACAGAATGACGCCTGCCAGAATGTTTCTGAGTTTGCGGAGCATGGGGTGCAGGCCAGTAGCTGTCTGCACGGAGGACTCAGAGGGTCTGTCCTGAAGCTGGAATCCACAGGCTTTCCTCTCCTGCTGTGGCCACTTGGGGCGTCTTTAACAGAAAGGAGTTGTAAACGTGCTTGTTTTTAAACGTCCCATGTAGTTATGTCCCTGGGGAACCTGCGGGCGGGCGGGCGTGGGGTAAGGAGCTGGCCCAGCCTGTGTGTTTCTGAAACATGAAAATAAGGGACGTGTAAACACTGCTCATTAGACGTGGGCAGCAGGCCAGGCCTTCCCCAGGGTTCAGTGTCCACTGTTTCTGTCCCCCAGGGAGCTGCTGGACTGCTACCTCCACGCTGGCAGAAGGGACGAGGCCACGAGGCTGTGTGCCACGGCGGCACCCTTCATAAAGGCCCACGTGCCCCACCGGTACCGTCAGGTGTTCGCCGTCATGGTGAGTTGGCGCCAACCGCAGGAGGCAGTCTCGTCAGGGTCATCGCTCAGACAATGACGTCCACCTGCGGAGGGACCAAACCCACGTGCGTGAAGAAAGCAGGACACGGGCTTGTTCTTCAGGGTGACTGAATGTTTCCTTTGGAGCAGCACTGAATTAAAAACAGAAAATGTGTAAAGTTAGTTACCATGACAACTTTGAAGAGCATTCCTAACCTATTAGTTTTTGTGTAAAGGAAATCAAGTTATAGATGAAAAGCTAAATAATGACCATAATTAATGAAAAGATACTTGTTCATTACGAACGTTAAAGGAGTGTTTGCAAATTAGCAGCCAAACACAGTCTCTGCAGCTCCGCTTAATTATTGGTTTAACCTGAGCTGATATTCTGTTCCATTTTACAACAGGTGGAACATGAACTGATGGACGCGCTTCAGTTACAGGCAGAAAAGAAAACCTCCGTTAGCCTTTCCGTCACTTTCCACATGAACGTGCTGAAGGCGTAAGTGTTCGGGCGGCTGCTGGGCTGAGCATTACAGTGTCCCCTGCAGGGGCTGTGGCTGTGCGCCGGGGCCTGGGGGCTGAGCAGGCGGGCCGTCCCCTGTGGAGAGAGTTTAGGGGGGAGGCACCAGCCTTACTGATGCTTCTACCAGGCTGTGCCAGGTGACCCTGAGACTTGGCCGTGAAACGGTGCCAAACAAGAGTGGTCCTGATGGCACGGGTTAGCGCGGATGGGGAAAAGGGACTGTCTCCATGGGAGAGGGGACAGGGTGGGGGGCCAGTGACAGAGAGGACAGGGAGCCAGGAGGCCAGTGAGAGGGGACGGGGAGCTGTCCAGAGGGAGGCGGTGGCCCCAGGTCCTGGAGTGGGGAGTGGGCAGGGCCCAGGGTCCCGGAGCGGCGGGCCCTGCGTGTGGAGCTGGTCTGGCAGAGGGGCTCGTGCAGTGTCCTGGGTGTTCTCACTTTCAGCGACGGAGGGAGAAAGCCTGTCCCTGGAGCGAGGGAGAAAGGGGGGTGTGGAAAGTCACCTGGGGGAGCGGAGGGGAGGAAGGTGGGGGTTTAGTTTAGGCCCCTGTCCAGAGGGGAAACACAGGCTCACAGACTGAGAGTTTATTTTAGGATAATTTGAATAAACCTGACAGGAGTTTTTGGTTATTTAACGTTTGAATTAATTCTAGAAAATTGGATAAAAATGATTTACCTGAAGACGTCAACACAATTCTGAAGAAGACGTATGCGAAGTTAGGTTATCACGATCACCAGCTCTCCCCTTCCATCAGAGAGGAAAAGTAAGCATCTATTTTTTCCAGTTTCACAGCTGCATAATCACTGCACAAAATTGCTAAGTCAGAAAAATGTGAACAATGTAAAAAGCGCCCGTCACCACCCTGCCAAGCTCCGGCCACGGGGGCGTCCGTATCTTTCCTGTCGTCCTGTGTGTCCTGAGCTTTGTGCTGCTGGGGAGCACTTGTGACGTGTGACTTCATATCGTACTTTAAGAATCAGATTTAATTCTGGCAGAAGTCCTTTTCAGGCTCTTACGAGATCTTACCCCTTTCTGAGTAGCTGTGCCGTTTCTGCGGGTGGAAGACAAACGTTTTTCCTCCCCGAGCATTTTAACTTTTCAGTTCCGTGCATTTTGGGCCCTCTGAGCGCTGCTGGGAGTTTACGGTAACCCTGGGTTGAATTCCTGCAAGTGGGAGGATAAGCCAGATGCCGACTGAGCAGCCTGGAAAGTCCCCCTAGTTTATTCCCACAGATGTGATGGGTTTGCTTCCAGCCCAGCAGCTGTCACATCCTCGTGTGTGTTTACCTAAAAGAACGGGAAAGAACAAAAGCACCTGTTGACGGTGGGTGACATGGCCGCATTGCTTTGGCGCTGTCTGTGTGCATGTGGGCGCCCGCCTGCGCCTGGACCCTGCACTTGCATTTCCGACAACTTGTCTTGTCAGCTCTCGGTGATTCTCTCAGCTTCTCCGCACTCCTGACACAGGCAACATGGGGCCGTTGCCTATAACTGTTGTTTTGGACGGTTTCCGGTTTGTCGTTAAAAGTTGATTTGGGGAATAGTGGGTTGAAGTGTGTCTCCAAAAGACACCGTCAAGCCCGGCCAGCTGTGACCTCGTTTGGGGATAGGTCTTTGCGGGTGTCATCAGGGTGAGAGCGGGTCAGACTGGAGTAGGCTGGGCCTTTAAGGAGAGCGAGTCGGAGACAGAGGCAGCTCACGCGGAGAAGGCCGCCCGAGGACGGAGGCCGAGAAACAGCTGTGAGGCGGGCGTGAGGCGCTGGACACGCTGAAGCTGGCACGCCCTGTGTGTTGCCTCGCCAGGACCTTCACAGGGAGCACGGCCCCGAGACACCGAGATTCTGGGACTCTGGCCTCCAGAACTGTGAGGGACGAAGCTTCTGTCACTTTAAGCCACAGAGTTTGTGGCAGTTTGTCCCAGCAGCCCGAGAAAACTCACCTGGGGTGTGTTGATTATCTAGTGTGACAGATGAGTACAGACAGACGCTGAAACAGGCAGACGCTCATGGTCTCCTGGCGTCTGGGATGGCCTCCCGGCACAGCTGCCGTCCTCACCATGTCGGTGGGGCTGGGGTCTCCTCCGAGGCTCACGTCGTGGCTAGACAAGCCTCTCCACGGGGCCGCGTGCTGCATCAAAGCCGCGTAGCACAGGGAAGCTGGCGTGTTGGCGACCTAATGAGGGCCGTGGCGTCTGCTAAACGTGGAGGCCTCCTGGTGCTTAGAAGCAGACGCTCGAAGGAGGCGGGTCGCACAGGCGCTGTCGCCGGACCCAGGGTCGCGGGCGCCGTGAGACGGCCGCAGTTGGGTTGGCGGGGAGGGCGCACCAGGGCACCTCGTGTACATGTTGTCACTTCACGTGTGAGGCCTCCATCGCTCTTCAGTTTTACAGATTTCACGGGCCAGGGGTTGCATATATACATATGTTTTTAATGGCTGTCATCATTGTTTTGCTCATTTCTAATTCAACATGTAGCTATTACAGAAAGTTTGAAAATGGCATCAATGTATTTCCAAAATTATCATCACGTGACTTTCACGTGCTCCCCCCACATAAATCGGGAACATTTTTCTGCGTCGCGAAGTATTTTTCCACGACGAGGTTTCTAATATGGGCTGTCAGGTCCTCTGGGAGGTCAGGACGTGCTTTGGGGGTATGAACGCGTATAGGCACGTGCATTTTCCTGAGAGCGGGCCAAGCTCAGTCTGGCCTCCAGTGTCCCCTGTCACGGCTGGGAGCCCCCTGGGGGTCTCACGTCAGGGGAGCACAGAGCATGCATGTGGGGTGCCCCCGCCGCCCACCCTGGAACTAGCCTGTGCCCAGGTGCCCGCCGAGGCCCTGCCTTCCGGTGTCTGTGGCCTCGCCTCTGTCAGAACTTGTAGTGTTGTGCTTTTTGGCCAAACAGGACACAGAATAGCTTGTGATTTGCACAGTTAAGTTTCCTCGTGGCTTCATGTGCAGTCAGTATGTGGTGGCTGCTCCCTGGGCCTGGAAGAGACGGTGTGTCCTCTGCTTGCTGGGGACACAGGCTCAGATGCCTGCCGTGGGCTCTCGCCCCACCTCAGCCCGACCCTCTGCGAGGGGCCCGCCTGACACCCCTGGGTGGGAAAATTTTGTGTTAGTGTAAACCAAAAAGGACTGAAAGTTGGTAGTTGGTACCTTCACAGCTCTCCCTTCTCGTCTGCACAGGAGGCCGAGTGGTCGGAGCTCAGGGAGAGTTGGGGGAAAGGGGGACCCGACCCACCGGGGCCGTGTTGGTCCTGGGGCTTGTGGGTGGGGGGTGAGGGAGACAGGGACAGAGGGCAGTCCCGGGACCGTGTCCCTCCCCAGGCAGGGAGAGGGGAGGTGGTGACACAACACACAGGCCATTTGCATTCCTGTTAAGGCTGGTACTTAGGAAAAGGCAGAAGGGGTGTGGATTGTCTCTCAGGGGGCATTTGCTGTGCCTGGAAACAATGCCAGTGGCACCAGTGGGACATCTAGTGGCTGGGCGCCAGGGCTGCAGCTAAACACCCTGTGGTGTCCAGGACAGGTGTCCCCCGTCCCGGAGAGCAAGCTGGTCCAGGTGTCAGTGGTGGAGCCGCGCCCTGGCCCGTCCTACCCAGGACACTGCCTCGGTCCCTGCGCTCCGCGATGCCTGGCAGCTGTCCTCCGAACTCCGCTTTGCTCTCTTTCCGAGTCGCTGGGCCATCGGAGGGCCTTTGCGTTTCCACACACATTTTAGCATCAGCCTGTCGGTTTCTACCAAGACCCTGATTGGCGACTGCGAGTGCTCTTGGTGACGATGTCCCCAGATGCTCGTCACCTGGCTTTGAGTCAGGAAATGCAGCTCACCCACTCCCTGAGCTGCTGTGCAGGGGGGGCCGTGCCCTGCTCCCCCAGACCGCCATTGGCCCGCCCTGAGGGCAGAGGAGGAGGAGCGGCTGCCCAGCGGCCGCAGCTGTGTGTCCCTCCACATCTGGTGTCAGGGCCCGGAGGCTGGACTTGGGGGCCGTCACCACAGGACTGTGACTTGTTTTATTCTGATTTCCTGCCTCTGGTTGAATGCTGACCGAATGTTTATTCTGCCACACAGGTGCATCTTCCCATCACCCCTACTCATCCATTACTGCTTTGCTTTTTTGTTTGCAGAATCCTTTTGCTTTTCGAATTAGCTCATCTTTCTTTGACCTTGAAATGTGAGGAGGTCTCCTCCAGCTGCCTCTCAGACTTGAAGAAAATTGACAGCAAAGTAAGTGGTCAGTGGCTGTCGGTGTCCGGCCCCTGCTCAAGGTCATCTGTACATAAAGGGAAAAGAAAGGAAGAGGGATTGGAACCCCCCCCCCCGCCCCAGGAGGGCCCAAATCTGTATCGTTAGCACGTTTCCTTCCCATTTTTTCCATGTGCGTTCCCCACAGTGGGACGTGAGGTTTGCACTCTGCTCTTTTCCCTTTTCCTGTTGTCACAGGCACTGACCCGTGTTGCCACCAGCTGTTTATACAACTCGCTTTAAGGGCTACACAATATTTCATAATATTCATGATCCGTAACTTACTCTCCAGCCCTGTTATTGGACATTTAAATGCTATTATTCTTTTGCTTATTACAAAGGGCTGCAATAACATTTTGTGCCTAAAGCTTTTATGTGCATTTAGGACTTTCCCCTCAAATAAGTTCATTGTCGTGAAATTACCGGGCATTGTCACTTTTAAGACTTTAAAATGCACACTACAGTATTGCCCTCCAAAGAAATTTCACATTCCCTCCAAAAGTTGATAAGAATGCATGCTGCAGGTTTATTTGTGTTTTACTTAAGAAGCTGTGAAAGGTCTCTTCCCCAGAGCAAAGGCCTGTCTTAGCAGCCAGCACTGCCAGTTACGAGCATAGCACATGCTACCAAGCAGATGCTGTTACGAGAGCTGCTGCTCGCAGGGGTGAGTGGGCTGGAGGAAGGGTTTGCTCGGATGGCCTGGCCATCGGCTGGAGGGTCACTTCTCTCCGCCTTCACTGAGTCCTGCTGTGTTTAGTCCCAAGTTACCTGTGAGTGTCAGATACCAGCTGACCCTCAGGTGTTTCCCACCAAATAAAGTTCTAGGATTATGCCCATTATGGGCGCGGACAGTGAGAAGTACAATTTAGCAAAAGGGAACGCACATCGGTCATGTTCATAGTTATGTTGATCTGGAAATGACTCCAGAAAAGGCAACAGCTTAACTTGGATCTTGACAATCAGGTGGTACTTGACAGGACTGTGCCTGTGAGTGGGGAGTGGGGCCGGGCTGCAGGTGCAGGTGGCCAGGAAGCACAGGTGGTGAAAACAGCAGGAGGGGCCTCTGTTTGAAGCACTTGCAGAGTTCTCTATGGGCCCCATTCCCATTTTCTGGTAACACAGACATTAAGTGAAAAACTGATGATAAACGGGCAGATTCATCAGGAGACTATAACAACTGTATGAATATACACACCCAACATTGGAGCACTGAAGTATATTAAGCAAATATTAACAGATCTGAAAGCAGAAATAGGCAGCAATGCAGTAAAAGTAGGATCTTCAGTTCCCACTTTGAGCATGGCCAGGCCATCCAGACAGAAAACCAGCGAGGATTCACTGGGCTTGAGCACACATTAGACTAAGCGGACCTCACGGACATTTACAGAGCGTGTCACCCAATGCAGCAACATACACAAAGCCCTACAACTCCACTAGAAACTGTTAGAACTAATGAGTGAATTCAAGATTCAAAATCAACATCCAAAAATTGGTGGTGTTTTTTGTACACTAACAAGCTATCTGAAAGAGAAATGAAGAAAGCAGCCCCATTTACAGGAGCATCAGAAACAACAAAAATACTTAGAAATAAATTGAACCAAGGAAGTGAGTGACCTGTATGCTGAAAACGGTAAGACATCAATGAAAGAAGCTGAAGAAGACACTAAGAAATGGAAAGATATCCCATGTTTTCGGATTGGAAGCATCAAAAATTTTTAGATGTCCGTACTACCCCAAACAAGATATAATGCCAATCCAAATTCCAGTGACATTTCTCACAGAAATAGAAGAAAACCCCAAAATATGTATGAACCATGGAAGAGCTAAAGCACTCTTGAGAAGGAACAAAGCTGCAGACAGCACATGTCCTTTTTCCCCAACAACACTACAAAGCCGCAGCGATGACAACATAATGGTGCTGGCAGAACCGTGACACGGACACCAGCGGAGCAGAACCGAGAGCCTGGATGTAAACGCTCACATGTGTTAACTAACCTTTGACAAGGGAGCCAAGAACACACGACGGGGAAAGGGTCGTCTCTTCAACAAATGGTGTTGGGGAGACTGGATGTCGACCTGCAGATGAATGAAACTGGACCCCCCACCTTACACCAGGTGGAAAAAGGCTCTCGTGATGGTTTAGAGACTTGAAGACAGGAAACTATAAAACTCTATAAGGAAAGAACACAGCGGGGAGAGCTTGACATTGGTCTTGGCAGTGGTTTTTTTGACTATGACAACAAAAGTAAACAAGTAGGACTTCAAACTAAAAAGTCTGCACAGCAAAGGAATCAACATGATGGAAAGGCAGCCTGTGGCATCGGAGGGAAACATTTGCAAGGCAGCTCGATACCTGACAAGGGGTTACGATCTAGAAAATATAAGGAACTCATAATTCAGTAACAAAACACCCAAATAACCCAGTGAACAAAATGAGCTAAAGACCTGAGTAGACATTTCCCAAGGAAGATACTCGTGTGACCGACAGGTACATGAAGAGGTGCTCAGCGTCACTGCTCATCAGGACCTGTCGCCTCCCACCTGTCAGAAGGGCTCGTATCAAAAGGAAGCGATAACTGGCCTTGGCTCACCTCACCCCGATACCAGGGCTGCGGAGAAGGGACCCTTGCGTGCTGCTGGTGGGAGTGTGAATGGGTGCAGCCTTATGGAAAACAGCAGGGAAGCTCCTCAAAACACTGAACAGAACCACCGTATGGTCCAGCAGTTCCACTTGGGGGAACACTCCGACAGCAGTGAAATCAGGTCTCCGAGATGCCTGCACCCTGTGTTCACTGCAGCGTGGTTCGCAGCAGCCCAATGCACGCTGACGAGGGATGCCTGAAGAAGCTGGGTGCATATGCTGAGTGAGAGACGTCAGACAGTGACACAGGCCGGGCTGCAGGAAGTGGGTGCTGTGAGGGGCCGGCTTGCCTTGTGAGAGGCGCAGTTTCCGAGAGCCACGCGTGGCCTGCTGACTAGCTGGCAGTGCTGTGCTGTGTCCTTGAAAGTAGCTAGGACGGCATTTTCACCAAAAAGAAAAAAATAAGTAGTTGAGGTGGCAGATGTGTTAATTATTTGACTATGGCAATCATTTCACAATGTAGACATATATCAAACCGTCACATTTATACTTTAAATAGATACAATTATTTGTCAGTTATATACTTCAATAAAAATGTAAATAAAAACAAAGCGGAGTAGACATTTCAGAAGAAAAGACTAGCCAACTTTTGAAGATACAGTAATGTAGTTATCCAAAATGAAACAGGAAAGAAAACACAGTGCATCATGAGTCATGCGACAGCTTCAGGCAGACGGGCGGGTACATAATTGGAGTCCTTGAGGGAGAAAAGAGGATGGAGGAACCGAAAAAATATTTTTAGAAATAATGGCTCACAATCTGATGGACATAAAGAGGAGCAAAAGTCAGCACAACAGCTTTTTGTTGGAAACAAGAAAAGTCCAAAGACCTAAGGTCAACTCCTCTAAAGTACTGAACTAAAAACTGTCCACCTAAAAATCTGTCCTCAGAAAAATGTCTTCTAAAATCAGAGGCAAAATAAAAATTAATTAAAACATACAAAATCTGAAAGAGCCTGACTAACACCACCAGAAATTTTAAAGTAAGTTCTTGAGGCAGAAAGAAGACAGCACCCAATGTGGGAACCTGGACCTACACGAAGCCCGGGACGGAATGCATGGCTGGACAGAAGAGGCACAGCGAATATTTTAGCCTCTTCAAAAATAACTGGCTGTTTAAGAAAACACAATACATGGGTCAAAAGACTCAGTTGTAATAAGATGTCAATTTTCTCCAGATTGAAGAATAGATTAAAAGCGACCCTACCCAAATCCAGCAGAAGTGTTTCAGAAATTGACTGGCTATAAAATTATAGGAAATCAAGGGGCCCAGAGCAGCTAAAAGCAGCCCGAGAAGGCAGAGCAGTGTTGGGGTCGCCACCGCCTGACGCGCGGTGCCTCAAGCACAGCGGGTAGCACAGAGCTGTGTTGGCACGAAGGAGCCGTGCAGACCTGCTGCGCGGACGCACAAGCACATGGTCAGGTGCTTTTTGACCAAGGTGCAGAGGCATTCAGTGGATAAAAGATAGCCTTTAAAAAAAACGGTGCTGGAACAATCGAATAACCACATGTAAAAAAATGAACATTGACCATCCCTCACACCACATGCAGAAATTAACTCAAAATTCATCATAGACCTAAATGTAAGTATTAAAACCATGATACGTCTAGAAAAAAGCATAAGAAAATCTCTGTGGCCCTGGGTCAGACAAAGAATTCTTAGGGTATCAGAAACACAGCCTGTGAGAAGAAATTGGGAAATTAAACTTTATTAAGTGAAGAACTTCTGGCCTTTGAATGATGCTGTTAAGAAAATGAAAATACAAGTCAGACGCTTAGAGAAACGTTTTCAAATCTTCCATCTGATAAAGGCCTGTATCCAGAATATATAAGAACTGTAAACACTCAAGAAAACGAACAAGCTAAAAAAATGCAAAAGATCTGAACAGACCCTTCCTCACTGAAGGTGCATGGACGTCGCACAGAAAGGCTCTGAGCCTCACGAGTTACGATGTTCGGGGCTGTTTGGGAAAACCTCCGTTCCCCCTCCTGTGTGTTTTGCTCCCTTGTTTTCACACAAAACACTTCACTTCTTGACATTTCTGGTCACCAAAGGTGGGGATGTTTCCCCCGCACCAAGCGATTCCGTGACACCAGCTGTTGCCCTGCAGTTTAGCTCAGTTCTGACACTAAGGCACTTAGTGGCAGACCCAAATGTGACGGGCTCGGCCCGACTGCCCCCTCTTAGATGCTGTTTGCAAATCTTAGGTCCCCAGGTTACACGCAGCTTCTCTGACTTGGCTTCAGATTGGGGGTTCCCACGACACCCTTCTTGGGTTTGATTAATTTGCTAGAGCGGCTCTGAGAACTCAGGAAACACGTACATTTATTGGTTGATTAGGTCGTGAAGGACGTGCTGAAGGACACAGGTGTGCAGCCAGGTGTGGAGTCCATAGCCAGGTCTGGGAGGGTCCCCATGGAGCTGGGGACGTCCCCTCCCGCTGTGGGGTGTCCACCAGCCTGGAAGCTCCCCGAACCCTGTGCTATTGGGATTTCACGGAGACTCCGTCACGTAGGCGTGGGCGATCGTTGGCTCCGTTTCCAGCCCCTCTCCCTCTCCAGAGAACTGCCCCAGCCGAAAAGGTCCAGCTTCTGACCATGGCCTGTTCTTCCTGGGGCCCAGCGCCCCCAGAAGCCACCCAGGACCTATCCAGGTCACCTCAATAGAACCAAAGTGCTGCTGTCCCTTAGGATGTATAAGGGATTAGGAGCCCTGTGCCCGGAACCGTCCCAGAGACCTCTGTTACGTCGCCTTACAGCTGCACACCTGCCAGAGGCGTTAGGTGAAGGGCCAGCCATCCCAGGTGGAGAAACGGGTCTCACGCCCTGCGGGGGGCAGCGCCCCCCCTTTGGAAGACAGCTGAGCAGCTTTGTAAACAGGGAAGCGCCCCTCCCTGGCCACCTGCAGCTCTGCCTCCTCCCAGCAGCCGCTGTCCTGACTGAGTCAGAGACGTTGGTGTCGTTACTAAGAACTCAGTGTCCACTGACACGAACTGCTTTTCCCCTCTATTGAAAAGAAAAAGCGAGTTTTTAGCTTTCTCAAACCTTTGCATCTTTTGGAAACACTTTAAGTTTTTAAACATATTTTTGTGTTTCCTTATGATTTTTATTTGTGGGATTTCTACCTAGTACATTAACTACAATTAAAGTGGCGTTAAGGAAGGTGAGGTTGCCTCTGTCTGTACCTGCTGTGTCGCAGGACCCTGGGACGCTGATTGGAATTGAATGTCTGGAGTGTGAATTAGAAGCCCTGAGACTGGAAAAGAAAGTCAGAGCCTACACACGAGCGGCCGTGGAGGTGAGCCCTGAGCGTCCACGGGGCAGGCTGGGCGCAGATGGCCTGTCCGTGGGAGAGCCACGCCTGTGCCACACGTCAGGGTGCGGGGGACGTGCGGGGACCCCACTGCTGGCCTCGCCCTGGCTCTGCTGCTGTTTTCCATGTGACAGGCATTTGGCCAACCGGCCGTGCCTCGGTTTCCCACCGGGAAACGGCCTCTCGGCAGGAACTTCATTTCAAGGGGCCAGGGTGGCACCTGAGCTGCCAGCCCCCTCTGCAGCCCTGAGCCACGTGGCCTGGTGGGTGTGTTGGGCCAGCGGCTGGGGCCTGGCGGGATGCAGCCTGGGGCTTGTGATGAGCTGCCCGCCCCACCCCCCACGCACGCTGACGACACTTGCCCGTGGTGAAGGCCACCGTGTCCCTGTGAGGGCTCCTTGCTATCCTGACTCACGTCCAGGGAGGCAGGCCGCCCTGTCCGAGCGAGGGCTGTCCGCCTTCTTGGGCCTAGAAACCCCAGGGGCTCCGGGGCGGTGGTGAGGCCCCTGCAAGGGACGGGGGGCAGTGGGGACTTGGGGCGCGTGGGGTGGGCAGGCCCCGAGGGCTCCCACGGAGGGGGGGCTGTGTGCGCTGTGCTCCTAGCGGCTGCTGTCACTTTCCTCCTCGCCCCGTGTGGAAGCCACAGGCTTGTGTGAAATCGTCCCTCCGTGGTTACAGAGGAGGCGGCTGTTTTAGCGACCTGTTGGCGCTGCCGCCGTCTGCGTGGATGGCAGTGTCGGAGGCCACGTGAGCTCGGCCTCACCCTCAGGCCAGTGTGTGTGGCAGCAGGACCGGATCAGCAGCCGCCCAGAAAAGGGACCCAGAGATCTTGTAGATGGCTCTTTAATAAGAATTTTGCAGTTTAAAAAGAACAAAATTGAATGAAACAACGGCAGCTAGCATTGGTTTGGGGCTGGGGCAGGCCTCCCCGGGATTAGCTCATGGAACCCTCATGGCAGCCCCCACGCACCAGGCTGCCCCTGCCCCACGTCACCCACCTGGCCTGGGAGGAGCCAGCTGGTGTCTGCGTTGTGAACACTCTGCCCGGAGATGGGGACATGCCCTCACGGGTTCTGTGTGCACGTTTGTTGCCGCCGGGCGGGCATGCACGTTTCTGTGGGGCTTGCTCGCGTGGCTGTCCCCACTCGAAGGAGGGCATGACCGCGTGAGGCCTGCCACACGCGGTGCCTGGCACCTGGGAGGCACTGGACAGGTGTTGTCTGAAGGTGATTTACGGAAAACCCTGGGCCACGACGTTTGATTGTGAAACCGCGACAGAGGCGGTTGTGTGTGTGATGATGCCTGCGCGAGGGGGGTTGACGGTCCCTCTGCCTCCGCCCTCCGTGCACCTCAGAGGCCGCAGGGTCAGCACATGTGGCCTTGGCCACTCATCTCAGCAGCCGGGCGGCACGGGGTCGGGAATCTCAAGGTTGGGCTGGATCCTGGACCCAGAAGCAATGTGAGGGGAGCCAAGGGCCCTGGGACAGGCATGGAGCGTGAGGCCGCCTGTGCAGGTCCCCAAATGCCGGGACCAGAGCCTGTCTGCTGGGGAGGGCAGGGCGCATGGAGCAGCCCGGAAGAGATGGTCTTTGGGTCACATGCGTAACAGGGGCGTGGACCCCAAGAAATACACAAGACCAAGAAGTGAGCAGACTCGACTGAGTCAGTTTCGGAGACAGAGGCACGTCCCAGACGTGCACAGCCCATGCCGAGCCTTTTAAGGGAGTGTCTTTAAGGGAACCCGTCCCCTCCAGACACGATCGCCCAGGCCGTGTCCGCAGACTGTCTGGGATGGGCCCTGACCCACCTGCCCCCTGACGCTCCGGCCTCCCAGGCTCGAGGCCGCCTGGGGCCCGCAGTGGCCTCAGGTCAGGCCGGGCAGGCAGCCCGTCGGCCTCACCAGCTGCTGTTCACTGTCTTGTGCAGACGCAGCTGAGCATGACGCAGAGACTGGACGTCGCACTCCAGCGAGCCGCCTGCCTGGGCGACCCCCGGGTCATCCAGGTGGTGAGCACCACCCAGTGGAACCTATGCCTCCCGTTGCTGCAGCACAACCTGCGGCGTCACCTGCGGAAGCCGCTGACCAACATCGCGGACATCCTGGAGAAAGTGGACAGGTAGCCTGTGCGTCTGTGTCCTGGGCTGTGCCGTCAGAGACGGGCGGCATGTGGGCCACGGCAGGGACGGGGTGAAATCCAACACATCTCCCCAAATGTGAAGCAAGCAGGTGAACCCACCTGTCTTTAAAGAGGGCTTGAGTGGCTGCTGGGCGACAACGCCTTCAGTTTGCCCTGAGAGGGTCAGGCTGCTCCTGTCAGCTGAGGGCCAGGCTGGGCCTGCCAGCCCGTGGGGACAGACAGACGGCCAGCTTCAGGTCAGCCCTCTGAAAGGCAGTGCCAGCACAGTGTCACCCATGCTGCAGAGACTCCTGTGGAGGGACCTGCCACGGCCCAAGCGTGGCCCAGAGCTGGCCGTGAGCCAGCGTCCACTCACCTGGTGTCTGGGTGCTCACAGGCAGGGGGAGAGCTCGGAGCCCAGTTCTGCTCATTTCCGGCTCGGCATGGGGCGCTCTTCCCCTCCTCCGTCCGTCCGTCCATGTCATCTGTGTGAACAGTTTCTCCTGGAATCCCGCTGGAATGTGTGACGGGGCTTCTTGGGTGAGGCTGTAAGGCCCTCACGTCCCTGTCCCTCTGTCTTCATGTTCTGTCCCCTCCCATCAGTTCTCTTTTACTTACAGATTCTCTAATTCTGCTTTTGAGTCCATCTTTTTTATTTTAGTGACTTTATTTCTCATTCACAAAAATATCCTTGTATTTTATTTTCATAGTTGCCTGATTTTAAAAAATAATTTCTTCTGGTTGCCTTCTTTTTCTCGATGGTTCTTTTCCTAGTTGACTCTGTGGAGATACAAATGCATAGAAGAGAAAGCGCGCATTTTAAACGCCTGGTTTGCTGAGCTGTGTGTCAGTCACGATGGGTGTTGAATGTTTCTTCTGCACCTTCCGGAACGGCCATGTGGCTTTCCTCTTGTTTAATGCGAGTGGCACGGAGCGAGCTGTGCCCGCGTCCTCTGCTCGCCCTGAGCCCGCCGTCTCTCCTGGGTCCGAGCTCTGTGCCCGTGTCCCTGGGGGCGAGGGCCTGCGAGCCTCTTGCTTTGTGATGCCTGTCGGGCTTGCCGTCACCATCACGCTGACTTTATAAACCGGGCTGGGAACTCAGGAAGTGTTTTCTCCATGGCTGAAGGACTTTCTGTAAATTGGCGTTTTCTTCCTCAAGGGCTCTGTAGGGCCCAGTGAGCGCCTCGGGGCCTGGGGCTGTGCTGTGCGGTCGCTTCTTTGGGAAGGTTTTCAAGCTGACGACCTACTCCCTGCAGGTCAGGAGGCCACCGTCCCTCTCGAAGGCGTCTCGGTGGCTCATGTCAGTGTCCCCACCTTTGCTGCCCTGTGCTCAGGTCTTCTGGCTCCGAGTTCTCGTCTGCTGCTTCCAGCCATTCCCGAGAGAGGCGTGTGAGCCCCAGCTCGGTGGGCAGCGTCTCCGACGCCCTGTGGCTCTCAGCGCTGCCCTGTTCCCAGACACCGTGTCGCACACACATGGGTGGCTGTCGTCTGGGTGACTCCCTCGTCCTGACGGCTCCTGCGTTTGGAGCTTGCAGCCTCCCCAGCCCCCTCCTCACCCCGCCTGCCTCCTCCGTGCATCTCTCAGGTGTGACGCAGCTTGGAAAGCCGCGTCTTCCTTTATCGAGTGTGGTAATCGCTGTCTCTTAATTGCAGCGCTTTGTCTGTGTTTGTGTAATTCTGAACTGCTCTAGGATGTCATCATGTGTTTCCGTTCGTGCCTCCCTGTTCTGCCTGCCCTTCCGTGTTCTGATTTCCGGGACCGGCCCCCTTGTTCCTGAGCTGCACCTCGTGGTGGGAGGGGCTGCTGTAAGGCTGGCAGCGCGCCCGCCTGAGGGCGTGGAAGGCCCGTGCAGTGCCACCGCCACTGCCGAGGTGAAAGCCGCCTAACGTTACACAGCATTCACCGCCACTTTCTCTGAGCTAGTGTCATATCTTTGGCTTCAAAATATGTTACAAACCTCATCTGACATTGTTAGTTTGCTTTGAACATCTGGTGGTTTTTAAGGGAAATTCTGGAGAAAACCAGTGACCTTGTGTGCCCTTCTCTGCCGGTCCCGCTGGCTCCTCTTCTATCGGTTCAGCCTGAAGAACTCCCTTTATTTTTTCTTGTAATGCACGACCGTCAGCGGTGAATTCTTCTGCTTCTGTTGCTCTGAGAATGACTCCGCCTCAGCCTCAGCTTTGAGGACGGTTTCCTCTGGTTATTGGGTTCAGGCGAGGTCCTTCTTTCAACACCCTGGAGGCTGGTTTTCTTTTCTCTGGCTCCTCGTTTCTGACGGCGCGTCAGGAGGTACTCGAAGTGTCTCCTGAACGCAGCCCGTCTTTCCCAGCCTCTCCGCTCCCGAGTTGCTCTCTGACTCTTGATTTTGGTTATGGTTTTTCTCAGAGCCTTTGAAACAGCCTTGCGCGGGGTCAGCTGAGACACCAGATGTGTGAGATGGCGATTTCATCAGATTTGGGACATGATTGGCTCTTATTTCTTCAAATACCGATCCTCGCTCTTTGCGTCCCAGCTTCACGTCCCGTAACACCCACCGAGGATCGTCCCGCAGGCCCAAGGCTCTGCTCATTTTAAAACCCTTTTTCAATCTGTTCTCTGATTAGATCGTTTGTATTGATTGTTTTCAGGTTTACTGGCTTTTCCTCCCTTCTCCAATCTGCTGTTAAACTCAACCAGGAATCTGTCATGTCAGTTATTGGCGTTTTGAGTCCCAGTGTTTCCATTTTTTGCCGTTTGTACTTGTCCAGTATGACTTTCTGTTCTCTCAGTGTTGTTTTCCTTCAGCTATTTACCGTGATTATATTTGTATTGTAGTATCTGCCTTAAAGGGTCTATCTGCACGCTTGACACCTGCCCCCGCCGCCCCCCAGCTGGGCCTGCAGCTCGTTGGCACAGTGGGCCTGTGCTCCGCCCCGTGTGCCGCGGGAAGCTGTCCCCAGGCCGAGCCGGCAAACACGGTCTCGGTCCTGCGCGCCCTTCTCCAGGAGCGGTGCCCGATCGGCGCCCGCAAGTCCTCGGTTCAGCTTTATGGTCGGCGTGCGGGGCAGGTGCTTCATCACACGCAGCTGGAGCAGAGTGACTCCGAGGCCACTCACCCCGACCCGTTTCTGCGGGTCCCGTCCACCCTGCTTTGGTGGGCACAGATTCTCCTGTTTGCATCTTCTCTGCTCACTGCCGTCATCGCTTGCTGTCCTGCAGCCCGCGATCGCCAGGTGGCTCCTGAGACGGGCTGTCCTGCCCGGCTGGCTCCTGGTGTCCATCCGTCGGGACTCCCGTGTTAGGGGACTCCGGGCTCGGCTGGCCCACTGGCGTCCTGCTGGCTCCTCTCCCCTGTCCCAGGTCAGGGGAAGTGGCCCGTGCCTGGCTGTAGCCTGGACTGCCAGGCAGAGGCTCTGGAACCTGGTTCCCTGACGGGCAGCACAGACCTCACCTTTGGCACACCCAGGACGCTGGGCGGTGCCCCCTCCTGCCCACGATGCCCGGCTCCTGGGCCCGGGCCCCCCTCTATCTCCTGTCCTAAGTGACAAGCATGTGCTGTGACATGTACGCCTGTGTCTTGCTGAGTCGCTTCATGGGTCTGGTACAGCTTTTTCTTCGTTTTTATTCAATTACAGTTAATGTTCACTATTATGTTAGTTTCAGGCATACAGCACAGTGGTTAGACATTACATGCCTACGAAGTGACGTGCCTGTCAGCCCCGTCCCACCTGGCACCATCCTGAGAACTTTTTTGTTTGTTGTTTTGTTTTGTTTTGTTTTAGCTGAGCCATCCTGCCACCTGTTGGCAGCTCAGCGGCAACTCAGCTCGGGCCAGACTCGAACTGCTGTTGCTCAGAGCTCAAACCTTTGAGCGAGCTCTTAACCAACTGAGCCACTCGGCCGGCCCCTCTTAGAACTTTTATTCACCCAGATTGTGGGGTTACTAACGCTTGTGTCCAGGGGGGCCGTGACCCTGGGTCTCGTGTGCTGTCCATGGCAAAAGTCCTGAGGACGCTGTTTTCCTGCTGAGACACTGTGTCCAGCTCTGCCCAGCCTCCTGTGGCCCCAGCTCAGGCGGCACCAGGAGCCGACACGAGGCAGGGCGTGTGGGCCTCGGCCACAGGACCGGAGGGCAGAGCTGGGGCTCCACGTTGTCCGCAAGGGGAGCAGCGCCTTGTCTAAACTCACTTGGTGGCGACGCCGAGAGCCTCCCAGGGGTGCTGGGGTGAGATGGCGCCGACGGACGGGGTGGCGGCCCCTGTGTTGTGTGCTGCCCTCTCTCGGCAGCTCACGCTAGCCAGGACCACGGTTGCCGACCTGCTGCTTCTCAGCCCTGGAGCCCAGGCCTCGGCAGCTGCTGCCATCTGGGCTTAGCTCTCTGCGGCCTGCGGGAGCTCCCTGTGTCCCCGTGTGTGTCCTCACAGAGCCAGGGCGGGACATGAAGGGCGCGAAGGCCAGGGGTGCCGGCCAGCCCGTAACGCTGCGCTTGGCCCCCAGCCTCCTGGTGCTGCTGCGCTGCCAGGTGCATATGGAGCTGGCGCACATCGATGAGGACGAGGACCGGCTGGAGCTGGCCGTGGAGCACCTGCGCAAGGCCATGCTGCTGGACGGCCGCGGCCTCTACCGGGAGGAGCTCGGCACGGCCCTGAACCGGCTGCGTCTCTGCACCTCGCTGTACCAGAGCCCCGAGCGTGCCGAGGATAAGGCCATCATGGCTGTCGAGCAGGTGCTGGCACGGCGCCTCCGTGGAAGCCGGGAGCGCTCCGAAAAGATGAGCGCTGAGCCGCTTCAGGGGAAGCGACACCCGGCTCACCGTGCATTCTCTCCCTTCGTAGGCCAAGAAAGCTGTCCCCAAGGACAGCGTCCGGAAGAAGCGGGCGCTGCTGGTGAACGCGGGCCTGGCCCTGGCCCCCGACACCTTCCAGATCGTGCTCGACAGCGAGAACGAGGCCAAAGGTGGGCGCGGTTCTCCCAACCGCAGCCTGAGCTGTGTGGGCAGCGGAGCTCTGGGACGTGACCCTCGGAGTGGCTGGGCGACTGCGGGCCCCCTCTGTCACCTTACCGTGGTCGTTCAGTCTGGGCACAGCTGGGCCGCCTGTGCTCACACCCTGAGCAGTTGGGGTGTCGGCAGTCCCACGAGACACGCCTGGCGCTTCCACGTGTGTTTCACACACGCAGCGTGTGCTCCCGCCTGCTGGTAACAGGAGGACACGGGGGCGCTGCTGGGCGAGGGGCCTTCCGCGGGGCTTGTGCTGAGAGGGCGGAGGGACAGGCCTGGTGGCAGCACAGGCCCACGACCTGCCAGGGACAGGAGGCCCCTGTGGGCCCAGGCGCTGTGCCAGGCGGCCCGCAGGCACTTGGGGTTGGTGCTTGTGTGCCAGCAGGAGGAGCCTCCAGTGCTGCGCAGGTCAAACGCCCGGCCTGGGCGTGGACAGCGGGGTTGGGCAGGGCCTGCGTGGGTGGGGGACGGGAGGACGGGGGGCTGGGGGACCCTGAAGCAAGCGTCCCCCAAGGGCCTGGCGGCTTCCCACACACGAAAGCCTCGTTCCCATCGAAAGGCCCCAGCGCCCCAGCGAGGGCCACTCGACACTCTGTCGGAGTCCAGAGCCCAGGGGTTGCTGTGACTCGGTGGCCGTACGCCGAGGACACGTGTGTTCGCTGGAGCAGAGGTGCGCTCCCTCCAGGCACACGCTTCCCTTTCGTCCTCAGTTTTCACCGGGAAAAACCGGGGCCGCTTCAGCTACCTGTTTGCGAAGGCGCGTCACCACACCATCAGCGTGGACAAGGCTGCCGGGCACTTGCGGCGCTTGGGGAATGAGAATGACACGGAGAGGTGGGTGGGGCGGAGGCGCCGGGCCCCCAAGCAAAGCCCAGCCAGCAGGGCGGGCGGCTCTGTCACCCAGAGCAAGAGCGCCCACCTGCTCGGGTCCCACGTGTGGGCTCAGGCCGGCAGGAGCAGGCGCACGGCTCCGTGAGGCCTGCTCACCCATGTCTCCATCGCCCGTGAAACAGCAAACCCCGGCCCGCGGGGTCCACGCTCTGGAGACTGTCCTGACTCCAGCAGGACGCCCAGCGCCAGGTCCTGTGTGTGGCCAGGACACAGTCACGGGAACCGGCTGATTTGGGAACAGACTCAGGGAGGCCTGCCCCCGGGGAAGGACACGGGCAGGCACCTCTCAGTCGTGACAGTGACGGGGAGTGGCTGCCTGACACACGCTGGGCCCGGGGACCAGCCTGCTGCCCGCCCAGGCCTTCGTCTCAAGGTCGCTCTTTGTGACCTGGAAACTGTAGCACCCCGTGCCCTTTTCTCACAAGCAGCAGCTCGGGGGTTCTGACTTACCAGCTACATCCGTGTTCATCTTCCTTCCTTTGGTCTTTGGTGAGCAGGATACAGATTTGGGCAGAGCTCGCCAAGGTCGCCCGGAAGCAAGGCGTGTGGGACGTGTGCCGGGCAGCAAGCCGCTTCTGTCTGCTGTACGACAGAGTCAACACGAAGAAGCCGTTGCGGTTGAAGAAAGGTACACGTGAGGCTCCAGCCCGTCAGCACCCAGCTCGGCGCCGCACAGGCTGTGGAGCCCAGGGCCAGCGACTCGGCCGCAGGCGGTCCCCGAGCAGGGGCCGGCCAGACGGGGTTCTGCAGTGAGGGAGACGGTCGGCACGCATGGCTGCGAGTCCAGCGGGCCTTCAGCTGGGACAGTGTTTTACAGATGTTTGCAGCTGACTGCCGAGACTGCCCATGATGAGGTGACGGTGACCACATGGCCTCCACACAAGTGACAGTGACCACATGGCCACTAATGAGAGTGACGGTGATCATGTGGTCATCGTGTTGCCGATCGGGGCCTCCTCTGTGCTTCAGGCACTGTGCCAGGCTGGCTTCTTGTGCCATCATCTCATTTGACCTTCACAGTCTCTTTGGGGTCGTCAGGGGGCTCAGAAGGGGGAAGGGACCTGCTATGGGCGAGAGAACAGGCCACCGTGCTGGGAGCCTGAGGGCAGAGGCTGACACCAGCGGTGTGGGTGCAGGCATGTTTCTCGGGGGCATGGGCAAGGGACAGGCTCCCTCCATCAGCGCTGGGCTTGGGGACGAGTCCTAGGTGCAGGTCCTTGGGGGACAAGGACGTGCGCAAGGACCGAGAAGGCCTGGATGTGGGTGTGGCAGGCTTGGCGAGCCGAACTCCATGAGCAAAACCCAGAATATGCTGTGGGGAGCATCAGCTGGAGACGGGGACACGTTTGCCACTCTACGGGGTCCCCACACCCTTGGGGAGGTTTCTTCCACGCCCTCCTGGGCCTGGTGCCCCCCACAGAGACCCCCACGGTCCCTGGACCTGGGCAGGGGCTCTGGCGGGCGGGTGGGCCAGGGGTCCTGGGCTGTTTCCTGAGGCCTCATCTGAAGCGGCTGTTTCCCCAGGAAGGAAGAGGCGAGACAAGGACGCCACGGGCCAGCCGGAGGGTCTGCTACAGCAGCCGCTGCCCCCGGCGCTGCTGCGGAAACTCGCGGAGGTGGGCTTCATCAGCGCCGAGGTGCGTCCTGCACTCAGCGGTCAGCCCTGCGTGGGCGGGGGGCACTGCCTGCATTTACCGCAGTGCCCCACCCCTGCTCCTGAAATAGGACTGCGGGTTACGGAGCATTTCCTGGGCTCTTGGGAGATTTTCTAGGAGAAAAATCTAAACCAAAATGTAGTGTGAGGTGTGACATACATTTTCCCTTAGAGTTAGCTTCTCGGGTGACGTAAGAGCTGCGGTGATGGTCCAGCACTTGTTCACATGCTGCCTGACATCAAAACCACTGTGAACAAGGTGCGGCAGAGAAGTGGCACTTGTGACCCGACGTGGTCACAGTCGGGCCGAGTGCTTCTGGGGACCAGCCCGCCAGGCCTCTCCCGGGGCTCACTGCTGCCCCAGCTTGCACGCTGGGACCCAGGCTGAGCCTCAGCCACGGCACCCACGCTTATGTCGGTGGTGACATTTGGTGACATTTTGTAACTCGGAATTTTTGCATCCACTTTCTGTTGTATTTTTGGGAGTCGGCAGGGTAACCTGGCCCGAGCACTCACTGATTCATTCAGTAAGGGTCTCCTGAGCACCTCCCAAGTGTCAGGCCTCTGCTGTGAGCTGGGGACACGGTGACAACCTGAGCAGAGCCCTGTCCTCAGGGACCCAGCAGCCGATGGCAGAACCGGTGTCAAGCTAGGGAGACAGGTGGTAAGGCTGCTCACCAGTCCCCGAAGCCTGCATCCCATGATGCCAGCAGCCATAGTGTTTCCATGTGCATTTATGTGACAGGGACATGGATGCTGGCTGGGCACGTGCTGATGCTCAAGTTATGTCTGCTGAGCTGTGGTCATGACCTGGGCTGCTCTCAAAAGGAGCCCTCTCTGAAAACACGGAGTATTTATTTACTGGCGAAGTGACTTACGTGGGGAGGGGAGCCAGTGTCACCAAGGGGATGACACCTGAGGTTGCAGGGGCCTTGGGCTCCTCTCAGGGTCTCCCCACTGTGTGGCTGGCACTACGTCCATGCACCTGTGACCTGTCTGGCCACACACATCCTTTGCAGGCTACCGTCCACTTGCTGAAGTCAGAAGGTGTACAGCTAAATGACCGTCCTAACCCCCCTGAGGACTTGAGCCAGCACTCGGCCGGCTACATGCCCGAGTCCCCAGAGGAGAACTCGGAGTGGGACGTCTATAGGTAGGCGGCCGCCGCGGGTGCTGACCGGTCCGGGTGTCCTGTGCCCGGGGGCACAGCTGGGCGTGGAGAGCGTGGGCTTTGTGTCTTGGCTGTGGGAGTTCTGCGAACAGGCCGGGGGCGTGCCCACACCAGGAGCCACGTTGCTAGTCCCTGTGAGAAGTGACAAGACCAGCCTGTACGTGTCGAGCTCAGACGGTGGTTCATGACAGTCTTTTTCATCCCTGGTACAAGTGAGGCACGAGGGAGGCCTTTCTCTGCTCAGAGGGAAAGCTGTGACCGCTGACTGTAGGAAACCTGTCAGGGTGTCGGGGACACGCCTCACTGTCTCGCTGTGTGTGAACGAGACAGCGTCCCTGTGGGACGCCCAGGAGATGCCAGGTGCAGAACCAGCCATGACATGAAGGCCTGTGTTGGCCATGATGGGTTAGTTATTTTTAAGTGAACACTGAATTCTGCAGTAGTGACTGTGGCGCTGAGTGAATGTCCGGCCTACTTAGCTGCTCTCGCCCACTAAACGGGGAGAGAAAAGCCTGCTTTCCTGTTCATTTTGCCCAGTAAACAAACGGGCTCTCCGCACCTACTGGGCCCATGGAGCACAGGGGTTACCCGGCCCTGAAGGGTTGAGGAGGGGAGCGGCTCGCTCATTCTACGCAGATGGTTCCACTTGGTGGCATCAGGTCCTCTCCCCCGGCTGCCGTGAGCGGCCACGTGGGTCCAGGCCCAGGCCGGAGCAGAGCTTACAGCTGGCGGGGGTCAGCAAACCCGGGCCCATGACACATGCGGCCCATAGCCCATGAGCTGAGGTGCTTTTGACATTTTAAATCTGTAAAATAAAACTGAGAAAAAATAAACAGAGAAAAAGGCCCTTTGCAGAAAAGGTTTTCCAGGTCCCAGTCCAAGGGCCAACAGCTGTCACTCACACAGAGTGCCTGAGTGGGACCAATGGCCATGAGGAGAGTGGCCTGTGTGTGGTAGGGTGCTGCTGGGCACGGGGCGCAGGGGCGGCCGCACCGGTGGCCAGGCAGCACGGCCGACCCCGGGCCTCAGACAGGAGGGCCCGGAGCTTTGCAGGTGCAGGCAGAGCAAGAGGCTGTGGTTGTTGCATGTGAGAGGGACGTCCCCACGGGAGACGGGGGGCTGGGCAGGCCCTGGGTCCTTCAGGAGGGAACGTGGTGGGCGGTGGGCAGCCCCCAGCTCCACGGCCAG